AGAAAGTATCGAAATAATATCGAATAAGATAATACCGTTGTCCGAGTGTAAAATACGAAGAAAAGGGTACTTGGAGAATCTCCCTTTCCCCCTCCACCTCCACCTCCTCCTCCTCCTCCTCCTCCCCCTTCACATATATATTTGTGTACTTGTGAATTAAAAGAGGAATAATACAGAATAAGAAAGACCGAGAGAAATAGAAGGAATGAAAGAACGAAACGAACCAAGGAGGAGGAGAGGGGGTTGAATATAAAAGAAGAAGAAGAAGAAGAAGAAGAAGAAGAAATGGAAAAAAAACCTGAGAAAAAAAAATAAGAAGAAAAAAAGAAAAGACAGGAGAGGTGTATTGGACACATCCTCGTAAACTCAATTTAGCAAGCTGGACCTCCTCGAAGTCTCGAAACACACGTGGGACCTGAAGTTCCTGACTTTGTGTGCCTGAGAGGAAGAGGAGGAAGAGGGGGGTAAAGGTTTCTATCTTTCTCTCTCTCTCTTTCTCTTTTCTATACTTCTACATTCTTTTCTTCTTTCACACACAAGCAAACAACTAACCAAGCAACCAACCAACCTCCACGCATCCGTCCAGGTACACGAGCAATCGTTAAGCACTTGTTTTACAAGTCGTTTAGACATGCCCGCCGCGATACGACTCTGTCGCAAGTGCCACGACACTTGTCTACGGGGTGTTTTCAAGAACCGGTCTTCTGTCTCTCTCATTCTCACACATTCTCTCATTCACTATCTCCTCTTATCTCAGAATCAACCATAGATGCTACTGCCAATTGATAAGAAGACAGAACAATCTTCTTCCTACTCTCAGAAAACCTTCTTCTTTTTCTTTTTTTGTTGGGTTTTATTCCTTTTGATTATACTCCTAACAAGAAAAGGGTATAAGGGGTTAATTGAGGAAGGGGTTGGTTGAAGGAACTTGGGATGATTATTGAACAACTAAAATGGAAGGATGATTCGTTTGATTAGCAAATATGATTATCAAAAAAACCATTCCCCTTAACCTCAAATCACGACTCGTTTAATTTTATTATTCAAAAAGACGAGTAATAAGAAAATATAAAAATCAAATGACCTGGGCAGTTAGAGGAGTTGAGGTTTGGGTAAGGGTAATTCGTTTGATTTTTTTTCTTCAAATGAATATTTATATTTATTACCGTGAATGTTGTTGTTTGATGAGTGTGATATAGAAAGAAAGAAAGATGATGTCATCAGATTAAGAAGAAGAAGAAGAAGAAGAAGATTCAAGATAAGTAGAAATGAAGTCATAAAAAATTTATAAAATAAATTACATTCTAAATTATGGAAATATGTTGTTGGTTTGTTTAATAAAGATTTTATATCATTTATCATACAAATAATTGATGTGATTTGTTGAATGTGAATATATATATATATATATATATGATCAAATATTAGGACAACTTTTATTACATCTGGCAAGTGAACAGAGAAACTGGTAATGCGAATATTATTAAGAGAATGATTGACAAAACTGTGCCAGAAAAGACATATTAAAGTTACATTACGAGTTTTATTTATTAGATTCAGCCAAAAGCATCAAGTAATTTCTTATAATTATGATTCAACTTAAATGGGATTGAATAAATAATACGAATGATAGATCTGAAATGATTCACCTTTCATTGCCACCCCCCCCCCTCCCACTACCACCACCCACACCTTTTGAGGACAGACACGTGACAGAAAAGAAATGTTCAATCTTAGATTGTTGAAAATTGTTATGAGAAACTCATGAAGTGTCTTTTACGTTATTCAGATTCTTAGATGTTACCACCACCACCACCACCACAAACCACCCCGTTAGTGGTTTGTTGGAAACGAGATGTTAGAATGCGATTTGTCGAAGATCCCAACAGAAAGAGAAAGAAAATAAAAGAAGGTAAAAAAGAAAAGAAAAAAAGAATAAAATTAACGACGTTGAAACTTGGTGGTGGTTGGGTTTTTAGGGATGGTTCAGGTCAAAGAAGACGGGGGAGGGGAGGAAAGAACGTAACACACTGCGATAAATCTGTTCGGCAGGTGAAAATCTTTCTCGTCGTACGGTTCCAACCTCAACCTCCTATTCCTTTAGGTTAGGACTACGACACGTTCAGAGAAAGAATTATTTCCAGGAGACTCTTGTGACCAACGAGATGAGATCCTACATGTAAACAAGAAAGAAAGAAAAGAAAAGAAAAGAAAAAAAAGAAAGAAAGAAAAGAAAGATAGCAAAAGTTGTTTAGTTGTGTTGATGGTGGTTGTGTTGGTGTTGTTAGTATTGGTGTTGGTAGTGTGTTTTTGATATTATTGGTATTAAGTATTATTGGGTTTGGTATTATTGGTGTTTGTATTATTGTTACTAGTATATTTGGTGTTGGTATTGGTGTTTTTGGTATTATTGGTGTTGGTATTTTTGATGTTATTGTTATTGGTGTTGATGGTATTGGTGTTGTTAGTAGTGTTTTTGATATTATTGGTATTAAGTATTATTGGGTTTGGTATTATTGGTAATGGTATTATTGGTGTTGGTATTTTTGGTGTTATTGGTATTGGTGTTGATGATTTGGTATTGTTGGTATTGGTGTTGTTGGAATTGGTATTATTGGTATTAATATTGGTGGTATTGGTGTTGGTGGTGTTGGTGTAGGTTTTGGTGTTGTTGATGTTAGTAGTGTTTGTTGGTATTGGTGTAAACTGATGATAGTGATGGTATTAGTTCGTGTGTTCTTGCTGGTGTCGTGTTGGATACGTCGCACGTTTCATGCCACCCGTTGTATACCAGAAAAAGAGAGAGAGAGAGAGAGAGACTATAACCCAACAGAGGTGTCCCCAGGTATGCCTTATCCGTCCAAGGATCGCGCAGTAAATTTATCCGCATTGCACCAAGGATCCCCAACGGAAAAGAACGAAACGCTCTTTCGGGGCATTATTATTTTCATTAGGATTTGTGACTCATCCCGTGTAGGAGACATTTATTTCGTGCTCATTCCATGATACACCTACTACTACTAATACTATCTCATCTTAAGAAAAATATAAAGAGAGAAAGAGAGAGAGAGAGAGAGAGAGAGAGAGAGAGAGAGAGAGGGAGAGAGTAAGTGAGAAAGTGTGTGCGTGATCTCGTACCCTACGTACGAGGTAGCAAGCAAGCAAGGGTCGATAAAATATAAAGAGAGAAAGAAAGAGAGAGAGAGAGAGAGAGAGAGAGAGAGAGAGAGGGAGAGAGTAAGTGAGAAAGTGAATGAATTGACATTGGATTTTTTTATTAATCCACCTCCACTTCTTCCCCTTTTTTTTTATTAATTATTTATTTTTTCCTGACACAATAATGGCATTAGTTGATGCAAATCGATAAATAGCAACACGTGTGATCGATGAGAATTTAAATTTATCAAATTCAACTGTTTATCCTCACTTGAAAGACTTAAATTTAACCTCAAAATGAAAATTGTTTTCATTTTCATAAAAGAAAAATGAAATTACTTTTTGAACAACTCAACGTATCTAAAATTATTAATTTAAATAGAAATTATTAATCTAGATTATATTTTTTTTTATTCATTTTCTTTCAAATATCAAATATCCTACTCTTTTTTTTTTTTTAATAATAATAATAATAATTTTCATAGATATTATTTACAAAAAAAAAAGAAGATTATGGCAAAAAAAAAAAATACGTAGAGAATGATTTAAATCCTTGATAGAGATTTTATGGCGTATGAGATGAAACCGTAGAAAATAAAATACACAAAAGTTAACAATTTCTATGCAAACTCGTGGAAAGATAATGATCGAAAGGTGTGGTATAGTGGTTAGTATTAGTGATGGTGGTGGTGGTGTCCATATTTGCTTTTTCTTTTTTATTAATCGTTAAGTTAATAAACTAGTATTTTATAACAACAAATGAAAATTTTCATTCCCCAAAAACTTAAACCTTTTGAATATCACGGGCGCATATATGCGCCCAACTAAACCAAACCGTCTAAACTAAGAACGCATATATGCGCTTAACAATTTGATCAAAACAGTTACCACATTTCCAGAGAAAATTTCAAACAATGGTAATTTGAAATAATCAAACTAAATCACGGACGCATATATGCGCCCAACTAAACCAAACCGTCTAAACTAAGAACGCATATATGCGCTTAACAATTTGATCAAAACAGTTACCACATTTCCCAGAGAAAATCTCAAACAATGTTAATTTGAATGAATCAAACGAATTGATTCATTTCTGTGTCATCCCCTCTCCCTTTTCCAAATAAATCGACCAATCAGAAGTGTGATAATACATGATTGATGAATATTAATCACCCATTTTGGTGAATTAAGAGGAAACAATTGGATGGAAGATTTAACAACAAGTGGAAAGGAAAGAACATTAAAACGAGGGGGATCTTTCACAAATCTTTGATCCCCTCCCCTAACCTTAAAGGTCGTGTTTTTATCTATTTATCTATCTATCTATCTCTTTTGCACTCTCTTTTGGACGATATCACGTGAACAGGTTCGTATAAAGTGTAGGATAACGCAAACTGGGTGACAGAACCGATATAATCCGATTTTACGAGCAGATTTCTTCTTCCCCCTCCCCTCTCCTTTTCCAAGCAAGGGTGGAAAGA